CAAACTCCTCTCTGTGTTGTTCTTCTGGAGGCTGTTGTATGTTTCTTTCTCCTGATGCTAAGCAGGATTTTAGATGAATTTGAAGAGGTGGGAAAACAGTATGTTCTGCAGTAGAAATGCAACAATTCTTGCCAGGATATTTAATGTTTATTTCAATGTGCTAGTGGAGGATTAAAAAGTACGTTCATCCTAACCCTAGTAGTCTCTCCAAATTTGGTTTTGACCATGTCTAGAAACTTCATAGGGAAGCACAGGTCAAGCTCTGCTGTCTTTGGGGAACAGCACATCAGGTGGTCTTGAAGTTAGATGCAGAGATAGTGGTGTGGATTTGCTTGCTTGTAGACAGAGGAGCAAAGCTGTAAGTCTCATTGGCCATGTTTTGTTGGTTAAGTGAGGCTTCTGAACACAAAAGGGGAGTAGGTTGGGCAGCTTGCCTACAGGCTCGTTTGATTCTGGGACCCCAAGCACTTGGTGGTAATTGATACCAAGACTGAAGTTCGGTGGGAGGCATGTGTGCATCTCCTAAAATGAAGTGACATCAGAGTTGTATTTTGCTAGTGGTGTGGTCAAGTCACCCGTTTTCTCAGCTCTTTGTGTTCATAGCTGTATGTTAAAACTATAGAATACAAATTGTCTGGTAATGTGGGCTTTGTGGTGTCTTACAACAAGGGGAAAACACTAACAAAGCAAATGCAGAATTACAGCTGTCATTAGCAAATGTTAAAAAACGTACACACTGTTCTGCTGAGGTTGATTTGACTATTTGCATGCTTAGTGGTATGTGCAATCAAATAATTTCTTAATGATTAGCATTTTTGCTGTACTCTTGGGAGAAGGTATAGGTTAATTTTCCTCCATGGTTTGCTAAATGGATCAAATTATTTGCATTGTCCACACTTTGAAGATGTAGATGTGAAGGGAAGCTGTTTTTTAACAGGCTTCTATCATATAAATAACTTGACTTAGTCCTATTTAACTTTTTTTTCTGGGACGTGACTTTATATAGTTGGACTCAGGTCCATTTCTAAACAAGGTATAAGAGTCACTTGGTTCTGTGTCTTCAAGTAGTATCTGGTTCTTGCGTAACTGTCTTCTGTAAAACTTTCTGGATAATGCTGAAGAGGATTTTCTGCTTATGATTTACAGGTTCCTGGTATGTTTTGCAGCTTCAGATATAGAATGCTAATATGTTCTTGGCGGGACTTAATAATTTCCTTAGTGGTTAAATATAACATAACCATAAATACCTTAGATTATCCTCAGGCAAAAGGTTTTCCGGATGACTTATAATTAAACTTGTGTTAAAATTGGGTTGCTATTTTGACCTCTGAACTGTCATACTATAGCCTAATTTGTATCTTCTTTTAATATTTGTTGGTAAGTTTTGTAACCCAGAGGTGGCAACCTGCCTCAAGTGCTACCACATATTGGATATTAAAATGGTGATTGAGAGATGCTGTATTCATAGAAATGGAAATGTCTTATTTTCTTCACTTCAAGGAAATTAATGGTGCCAATAGTGTTAAAATTGTCCTTGTTGTTTCCCAAGTCCGTTTAGTGATCTCTTAATCACCAAGCCACATACTGAGCACATAATAATTGGAGATCTAAGTGAGCTAGTTTTCATACAAGGTGAGGAAAAGGCAAGAATAAAAAGCTTCAGTGTGTTTGCTTTTTTCCTGCTTTTGTTATAGTCTATTTGTCACTTTAGACAAAGAACACTTTTAAATGCCAGCAAGGGTTTGTCAAACAGGCTATACTAGGTTTTATGCTCTAGAGAAATTCCATTTCTAAGTAAACTCAAGATACCTGGAGTTTGGATTCTTGGAGCTGTTAAACTGGCTGATTCGGGCACTAATATAAACGTGTCTGTGACACTGTAATGTTTCTGTTCTCCTCTTCCTGATTCTTTTTGTCTTATAACCACAAAAATGCTTAAATTCAGTGTAGATCTTATCTGTGTGCAGCATATTTGAAAAAGTACTTCCCTCCTTAAAAGCATGGCTGCTTCAATCATGGCTTCATAACTCAGGGTTGAAGACTGTGAACTTTGTTTTTCCTCTCGTGGCAGAGTGGTTCTTTTTTTTACCGCTTGTATGCTAGTGCTGTCATCACAAGCTCAGACTTCAGTCAGCTGAGGTATAACAGTCTAAACTGTAGGGTCTCTGGAACGAGAAGTGGAAGCTTTACAGATCCAAGTTAGCTTTTTGTTCTGCTCAAAGAACTCCATTTTCTGAAAGTGGTGCAGTCACTGGATGCCTGTTTTGGATGAGTTAAAAGCGTGCATTTCAGGGCATGGTGTGGCAAGGCCAAGAAACCACAGCCTGTCTACTTTAGTAGATGACATGCTTTCCATGAACGTTACTTTCCTAATCTCAGAAATAGCTGAAATAACTGGAAGCATACAGCCTAGAGGATGTCTAATATGTTGCCCTGTTAGTTGCACCTAAAGCTTTCATGCTTACTTTTCTCAGAAGGGGAGAGGTGGACATGTTTTCTGTCTGCCCCTCTCGCTGCCTTTTTGCGTTGCAATGCTCGGAATATCAGTGGACAGCAAATATGTACTCACTAGTGGTTGGACATGAAGACTTTCTTTTATTGGTGGTACTAGAAAGTAACATTGACATTGTTTTTTTTTTTTTAAAGCTGAACTGAGGGCAACTTTCCCCTCTCCTGAGTTACGTGCACTTAAACACCTGACCTTGAAGTAGCACTTAGCTGTTGTTGTGGCCAAAGAGTTTGATTCTCAAGTATAGGTAGATGACAGACCATCATAGGATGTTTGTGTGTGTAGAGTGGTGTTTGTGGACCTTTTGAACTGCAAGAAGCAGGAATTTCTTCTGTAGAAAACAGCAAAATGTGAGAATCCTGATGAAGTGGGGCACTACTGGTACTGCTTTGTTAAAAGACTCTCAAGCTGAAGATTGTCTGTCATTGTTTTGGCAACAAGCACAGACATAATGAAACGGTAGAGACCAACTAACATGCTGCAGGAGTGTGCAAAAACTGAGTGGCTTTTTAGTAAACGTGCTGCAAGGTGATACAGTCAAGAGTGGTTCTTTGCCTCCTTTCTTCTTTCTTCTCCCACCCTAACTACAAATAGCCACTGATCTTATGGTAGAGATGGGTTTAATGGTGAATGTCAAGTTTTAGAGTAACACAGATGCTTGAGGAGAGAATAGCAGCCACATGCTTAAGATCTTTGGAAAGGCTAAAAAAAAATAAATTGTAAAACAGTCTTTTATAGTATATTTATACCTGGTTTTGGTAACACTTTAAGCTGACTTCTCCCTGTCTTACTATAGTTCAGCTGAGTTATACAGCATTTAGTTAGGACTGCCCCTAAAAGAAGTGGCCGACATCTGTTAAGAAGAAAACATGGCCTCTTACTGCAAAATGGAAAATAGGGCTTTTACAGCAGATTCATTTCTGGAGAACATGCTGCAGCTCTTTATTTGGGTGGAAGCGGGGACATTTGTTTATAGGAATAAGGAGTTAAAGCCCATCAAGATTAATCTTCTTTTCTGTGAGTTTACCACCCAATTTGAATCTTAGATGAACTGTAGACAGTGATCTCTTTAAGTATGGGGTGAAATTATAGAACAGGTCAGGAAATCAGGAGATGATGATGGTGTCTGCTTTTTCTGTTTACTGGAGGAAACTTTGGCCTTTGTTCCTACAGGCCTAATTATAGCAACTGGCAAAAAAATCCGCTGCATTGTAGTATTCCCAAAATGGCACTTCAATCAGAAATTGGTGTTCTAGGTTGTGTCCTTGTGTTCAGCTAGTGGCCTGCATGAGGACTTGATCTGCACTGTCACCTGCTGTGTTGTGGCCTTGCTGCCTCTTCATTGAGTCTATACTACAAGATTTAGCCCTGAAAGGGGCTCTCCTGTCCTTGTGAGTGGGGTAGGTTGCCATCATACAACTGTAATGCCTTGTAATTTGCATCTGGCCTGATACAGGGAACAGTTTGGCCCATTCTATCCTAAATACTGGAAACACACTCTTACATAAGCAAGCATAAAGTTACAGTGATGATCACACTTAGATACCACCTATTATTTATTGCTCTTTTGATGTCCATTTATTCTTCAAGATAAAATTACACATCCAGTATGAAGACAGTTGATGGCTGAAAATAAATCTGTTTCCTTAACCTTTTACCATTCTTTGTTGCAGCTCTCAAGTTCCACTTACAAATATAGGAGTGAGGAATTCAAGAGGCAGTTTTCGCATCTGCCAGACTCTGAGAGACTCATAGTAGGTAAGATGTAATCACAGCAAAAGTGCTTGTCTTTTTGCTGATAACTCCAGATTGCAGCAGTGCCAAGGTGTGTTTTTATGTCAAAATCTAACTTCAGCTGATACCTTCCTATTCTCCTGTCTCTGAATTAGCATCAGATACCTTCAGGGGAAGTCAGGTCCGTACTCATCGCCTGTACTGTCTGCTTTGTGAAAAACAACAGATTCCTTTTGGGGGTTGAGAAGTGAAGGAGAGGATACAGAATCCTCCAGTTTGTCTAGATATGCGATGGGAGCCTGTTAATGTCTTTGTCTGCTGCTACTTTAGTGGGTTTTTAGACAAAACCCTACCTGACAGCAGTGAAGATGTGACTGTCTGACAGCTGTTAGCTGACCAGCTGGAAAGAAAGGTCACCATGCAGGGTTGGGGTGAGCACTGAGCACACAAACTCAACATACATGCATCAACGGGCTTGTGTGATGCAAGCTTGAGAAGAACAGGTAGAGTTAAATCCTGAGAGCACTGAATTTGTTTTATGTTCTTTCCAGCATTGACAACCAACTTGGTACCTCTTGCAGTGTCATGACAATTTATTTTCAATCCTGTGAGTGTTTGAGTCTTCTCCTTTACTTTAAAGAGGGAACTAGTTATGGCCAAGTCAGATGCCATAGGTGTTGGGGAGGAGGGAGTTGATTCCATAGTTGTAATAGTTTGATACTTGGATACAAAGGTAAGGAGATGTTGCTTCAGTGACCCTGTTAAGTAGGTAGATCATCCTTAGCAGCAGTTTTTCCCTTGCTCCCTGGAACTAAGCCTAGACTCTTGACCTAGGCACCTTGATTAATGTGACTTCTGGGACTGAGTGACACAGTGGGTGCTTGTAGTTTGAAAAACTCTTTTCAGAGACAAATGCCAGCTATGTGGTACGAGGACATATAATTCAGTATTCAAGTGTGTAATTCTCATCAGCCATCATAGGACACTGCTGGAAAACACAAACCAATCTTCATTTTATCCTGACTTATAATGCTGTGCATTTGGATGGATTTGTCAATGTGGTATGTTGAGGGCAGATAAAAATGTTTTATGCCCCATGGTGGTCAGTGCAGTTGTAGTACTGCCCAGGCTAGTGCTGAGCCTAAAGTGTGTTACATGGTGCTGTGCAGTGCAATTGTGTTAGTTCTGGGTTGGCACATGCCTTGAGTGGAGGTTTTTCACAGCCCAGTATACCAGGTTAGCTTCCCCATAGGCTGATGAGATGGGTGCAGGCATGCAAGTACAGCTCAGCTGGAAGTGCAGAAGTGAAGTGCATGGGATGGGAGGGGAGAGGAGAGGAGCAAGTGGCAGAAAATGTCAAACTGCTGCATAACTTCTTGGCACTGAAATGTTCCTTCTGAGCTCTGACTTCCTGTTTTGCTCCACCACAAGATCCAAAGAAGGCAAACGTATAACCCTACCTCCTTTGCATGCAGTGATGTGCCTTATTGTCTCTTATTACTTGCCTTGCAGGTAGGCCTGCCTGCACTGCCTGAGCAGTGTGTAACAATGCAACACTGTCCAAGAATTGGGTGTTGTTTTTATACAAAAGTGGTGTTGTGACTGTTTAAAGTTAATCTCTCAGCTTATGCAACCTTTGAGCAAGTGAATAGAGAGGCTGTCCATGTATGCTTGCAGCAAGCTGTGTTCCTTCCAGGTTAGTGGAAGAGAAAGTAGAGCTTTCACTTGCACAGAAAGTTAAATCCCTGTGTCCTTTTCCAGCCTCAGGAGGTGGCAGTTATCCTCTCAAATGCCTTCTGCATTTTTAAAGTACTTGATTTAAGTGAAGAAGTAAAGCAGAAAAGAATATTACTTCAAAGCATTGTTTTGACGTCTCTCGTTACACAGGATTGATGTAGAAAGCCATGGAGCAAACTGAAGCACATTTCCAATGAACACACCGCCAAGGACTTGAAGAAAGATTTAGTAATGGGTTAATCTCAACAATGTAGTGCCTGCTCCACCAGAAGCAAAGTCATTACTTTATAAACATTTTTTTTACTCCATAAGAAGCAGTGCTCCTTTGGAAGGACTTTTTGCATCCTCCAAGCAAAGAGCTCTTCCTTTACTTGATGCAGGAAACTTATCACAGGCTTTACAGTGCTTAAAGAAGCAATTTCTTGCTGCTGTTCAAAAGAGCTATAACTGCTCGTGTTCTTAACTTAGCTGTTAAAAGCGGCTGTTCCACTGTAATGACCACCACATATAAAGATTATATGAAATATAATTCTTTTCTTACAATGGAGGAGAAATGATGTGGACTTTCAAAATAGGAGTTTGAAGGTGTGCCACTAACTTTAGTTTGTCTGAAAATGTTGTTTACAAGCAGCGTCTTACGTTACTGAATCTGAAAACTTAGAAGGAGAAATGCTAATCTCTCCTGTCTGTTTTGATATTCTCTTTTGTGTAGGTAGGTCATGGTGTTGCTCATCACTTGCCCAGTGCTCCAGTATTTATAGGTCTGAATCCCTCTGCATCCCCTAAACATAGAAGTCGGATGCAAACGTCTTGGTAATGCTTTCTTGAAGTCCTTAACCTCAAACTCCTGCTGCCTTCCCTCTCCCTGCTCTCCCAGCATTTTGGTATCTGTCTTTTCTTTAAACATACACTTACAACTTACTGGTTAAGTTTATGTAATTGTATTTGCAGTTATGTCTTTGAGGACTGATATACGTACCTCATGCTTGTTGCAAGAAATTTTACTTCCACTTGACTATTTAAGGGGAAAACCCAACAGAGTTTTAAAAATCATAAAAAAAGCTTCTGCAGATGCTTATTTACCTTGAAGTTAGGATGGTGAGGGACTCCTGAACCTCTTGGTGCTTTTTCAAGATCTGTATTTATCTTATTGTATACAAAATCAAAATTCTGGCTCAGACAGTACCAGATACAATGCTCTTCAAAATAACAGAACTCTTTGATATCTCTGAAGTTAAAATCGTTAACATCTTGCATGAATAATTGCATTCTGGGTATTTTCTATATATAAGGTAGCCTTTTTCAAGTTGGAACTTCCAAAAGAGGTTGGTCTGTCTTCATTGTCTAGCAGTAGTACTTCTGAAAATTCGTTTTGTTTTAATCTTCAGGCTCTGAAATGATGAAAGTTCTCTCCAAGAGGCTTTTAAAAATTACAACCACGTCCTCTGCTCTTGTTCTTAATTAGCAGGTGTCTGTTGATGGGTAACTGTGTTCTAGATGAAGTCTGTTTCTCAGTAGGGATGCTTCAGCCAGAGGCAGTATCATAAGAAAAATTACAGTCAGCTTCTGAAAATATCCCATGCCTGAAGAACTAGATAGCTTCAGGTTGCCTTTTAGTGTCTCACTCTACCGGTAGTTTTAGCTAGTGATAGGATCTGTTTAGTAGAAAATTATTGTCTTACTACAACATATGAACTACTGTTATGTAGGAATTGACAGTATAAGCCATTGTACTATAAAATGTTTGTGTATTTTGTTGTTTAGGTGCTTTGAAGTTTGACTTATACGTCTCCCATGTACTCCTGCTCTTGCCTGATACCTCCTCTCTGAAAATACAGGATAATGCGCAGGGGGTCAATGTATGGAGTGCTGTCCTCACACAGACACTTCCATCAGCTTTAGCACTGGGATGTTCCCAGAACAATGATCTGGATGCAACCCAGTACAAGTCTGCCTTCACAGGCTTTTGAAGAGTGAAAGAAAAGTTCTTTTATTTTTATTGTAATACCCTTATTTTAAGTTAAAAGGTTTGGGTAAACTGAGCTGCAATAAGTAAATAAACTTTCTCTTGTTCTTTATATGTAGATTATGCCTGTGCGCTCCAGAAGGATATCCTGCTGCAAGGACGCTTGTATCTCTCTGAAAACTGGCTCTGTTTCCACAGCAACATTTTCCGATGGGAGACCACAGTAAGACCTCTTAGCTCACTTGAATCCCACCTCTTCTTTGTCCTGGACTATCAGGGTATGAGAGCCCCTCAAACAAATCTTTTCCTGTCAATCTCTTACTAATAACTTTACACTGAAAAGAAAGAGCCTGCATCCCTGAGTGGAAATGTGGGTCCGTTGCTCCGTAAAGTGAAGTAGTGTTGGAGATGTCCGAATGCTGAAGTAAGCCTGCTCAGTCAGCCATTCAGCATGGGAAGGAGTTCAGGACTTTTGCTAAAGTTGATCCTTTATATTTCTAGATGAGTTTGCCTCTCCTTACCAAGGAGAGTTGCTCTGTAAAGGGATGTAACGTGTAATGTTCTACTGCAAGACCAGGTGCATGATACAGTATGTGGTGTTGCCCTGTTCAAGAACTCTCCAGCATTGAACCTTAACGTGGTTTAGTCTCACATGTAAGTATTGGCATCTAAGAATAGCTGAGGAGAGTGATGATTGCATTGGTGATTGAACATTTTTTTATTGTAGACTTGAGACTGAAGAAAAAAACCAAAAAAAAACAAAACAAAAAAAAACCAAACCAAAACCAAAAAACACCACAAACCACCTGTGAAATGACAGCCTTGAATACATAAACTACTCAAAGACTGATTTTTCAGCCAAACCAGCGTGCATCCTAGTAACCTGTTCCTGCCTGCCTAGCAGAGTGAGAGCTTAAGTGGTATCTTAAGGCAATGTGAACTCATCAGCTACAGTGCTAGAACCAAGCTTTGGGACCTCCTTAGCAGGCTGTGTTGATGCAGAGAGACAGTGAGTGGGGAGGACTTTCTGCACACTTAGGAAAAAGCAAGATCCAACTGTATGTTCTTCCTTTCTCTAAACTGAATGGCAGCACAGCCTTGTCTTCAAGGGAAGGGGGTAGGCTGAATTGAAATGGCTTGTTGCAGCCAGTCAGACCATGCCGTTCTAAACAGAAACATTTTAAGTACTAATATGCAAGGTAAACACACCCAAGCAGAAAGACTTCCTTGCAGTGTCTGAACCGCAAATAAATCTCTGAAAATGGACTAGATTTCAAAATTCTGTGATGTGACAGACAAGATAGTCTGTTATCTGCTCAATGTCCTGCCTTATGTATAGTGTACTGATTGGGGCTGGCTTTGAGGTCTGTGGTTTGTATGTGCTTGGGGGAATGCGCCCTTAATCCTGTGTTGCTGGAGCAGTGGAAGTAAAGAAGAAAGAATTACTTGCTTCCCTAGTCCTAGGAAGAAAGAAGAGGAAATTATAAGTCATCTTAACTTGCTTCTGCTCTGGAATGCTTGCTGTTGAGGCTAACAAATGAGGACAGTAGTTGCCTTTGTGATCTCAACCAAGTTGCATCACAGGGTTTGGGATTAGTTTGAGTTCACCTTCCGTATTCTGTGACTTTATACATTTTTGGTCTTAACAGTTATTTTTAACATGTTATTAAATCTATTTCTGCTTAGATTTCTATTGCCTTGAAGGATATCACTTTCATGACAAAGGAGAAGACTGCTCGGCTTATTCCAAATGCCATACAAATAGCAACAAAAGGAGAGAAGGTGAAAAACTGTATTAAAATATGTGGTTTTTTAAAAATGATAATGTCCAGGGCAGAGCACTTGTTTTTAAATTTGCATAAGTAACTTCCCTGTCAAGTCTTTGGACGTGGTTAGGATTAGAAGACAGACTTGGTGTTTTGATCCCTGTGCATATTGGCTTGATAATTCAGCTTTAGTTTGATTGAAGACTAGTGTTGATACAGTAACCAGAAAGTAGGGAAGTTTTTGTCCCGCTGATTCTCAAAGGAAAGCCATTTGAAAACTCCAAGTTCAGGGCATGAATTCAGAATGTGTGCCCTTGAGTTTGGTATTTTTTGCAGTCTCACTGGATTTAAAGTGCCCCTGGAAGAAAATGGCTGAAAACAAAAAGGGCTGCAATATCATGGGTTTCGAGTCACGGAGAAATCTACCCACCGAACATGCAATTTTATATTCTGGGAAGTGCAGTTATTGGATGTGTTTGGAAAAATGGAAATGTGTGATGCAGAATGTTCTTATGTGCAGCACACTTTGTGATATTACTTCTGTCATTGCCTTGAAAATAATAATTTTTGGCTGGATGCAGAGAATAATTTTCCAGGGCGAATCTGGAGCTGTTCTTTGTGAATGGACTGTCATTCCTTATATTTGGTTGTTCCCTCTCAATTTATTAAATATTAACTTCCATCATCAAGGAAGATAAACCTTTTTTTCTGCTAAACAAACTTTCAAATGGGAAAGATAATATTGCAAATGGTGCATGTGATTTGATATCCTATTTTAATTATTTTAATTTTACATCTTCTCATATGAAAAGATTAGTAAAAGGAATATGTGGTGGAAGGATGGAAAGGGCTGTGGCCTGTAAGAAATAGGCATAAACATCTCTGATTTGCTCCACCTCCTATTTGGAAGTGGGAGAAAGATTTAACTGTGCAGTTAGTTGAGGGGGAGCTCTTTCTTTATGCCAAAAGCACAAATGATTGCAGCTGGGTGCCCGGAAGAGCAGATGTCTTTGTGTGGATATTGGGTAACTAACTCTTACTTACTAAAAGTGGTAAAAAGTGTGGAGTGTGAGGAATGTAAGCTCAGGTTTGTTGAGTGTGAAAGGAGCGTGCCATTGCTGAAAACCTTAGGAAATTCAGGATATAAGGAAGCATTCTGTTTTATTTTTTTTTCTGAGAATACCTAAAAGTGAGCTTTTGGCACCTTGTTTTTTCCTGCAGTTTTTCTTCACATCATTCAGTGCAAGAGACAGAAGCTACCTCAGTATCTTCCGCTTATGGCAGAATGTGTTGCTGGATAAGGTGAGTTTGTAAGTGCCGGTACCTGTGGTTAAGTAACAAAATTATTTTTTTTCTAAAGTAAGGAAATGTGTCTTTTGAGGGCAAGTGACTTTCCTTAAGAAATCAGCTTTTTGTTTCTGACGCAGAAATCTAATCTGATGTTCTTCTTTGGCTTCTTGTACTTCAGATCCCAGATAAACTTCCCATCCTTTCCTCCTTATGCTGCCATCTACAACTTTGCTGTTGGTGGAGCGTTTTGTCTTTGAAGATAGGTTGCTTGTTTCTCTTCACTACAAACTCAAGCAGATATTACTAAACTGGCATGCATTTGCTTCACATTTTCTGTGGCTAATTTGTGATCAAAAAGGCAAGAGGCTTTTTCAGTGAAAGCTTTTTTCTTTTTGAGGAAAAAGCCAAAAGTCACCTTCTTGATTAAGTTAGCTGAACCTTTGCCAACCAACTCATTGCAACTCCCCTGACCTTGAATAAATGCAACAAAGGCAGGCTGTGTGATATGGAAGTGTATTTTGGCAACTTCTGCTAGTTAACTTGATTTTATGTTGCAATTTGTGGACACTTAAGCTAATCTTCTTTCTAAAAATGTACCGACTCTTTTGCAGAACATCGCTGTAAGTAATGCAATTTTTGTAAGCAATTCCTTCCTGTTTATGCCTCTCTTTGTTTAAATACTTCAACACGGGTGCAGTTGAACACTGAAATATCCGTATATATCTCTGCACTACAATGGTCCCCAAAGGCTTAAAGCTGTGGCACTACTTACATGTAGTACCCACACAGGTTTTTTGTTAAATGGATTTTAGGGGAGACTAAAGGCACTTTTTGTCAAACAAAAGCTGAAAATAAAGGAAAGTTCTATATGAGGCAAAACTAATGTTTCCTGCAAATTTCTTACCTCTCATACCAAATACTGTTGAACTGTGGAATGGTAATTAACTTATTCAGTTGGTTAGTTTGCGGTGCTGGAGGATGAATGTATGGGCATTCAGATATGCAGACCTATCGATGGGGCTGGAACAGTGTGACAACAAACTTCTGTGCTGTTCAGTGTTAGTTTTTCCTATGCATTTCTACTCTTTGCTGCTGAAGTAAGTATCACATTAGGAACAATTTTTCACTTCAGACCAGTAACCATAGGGTAGATATGAACGTGGAAGGCATCGACTGCGTGCAAGATGAGATTAGTTAAGCCAGCGGGTTTTAGGGGCCAGTGCATCTGCATAGCTTGGGAACTCTCCATATTCTTTCTAATCTCGCTGTTAGCTTTCTTGCATCCTCACTGAAGTGTGTTGAAAGATAGAAGTCTCTGATGTGAATTTCTGCTGGGAGTTCTCAGTTGTGAAATGGAGCATTGCCATGAGGTGTGTGTAGGGCTTTTTAATGTGGTGTGTTTGGAGCTATTTCTTGAAACAGGAATTCTGTTAGGTTAAGCTCCTGCTTCTGCGTCGTAGTAGTGACTTCTGATTCTCTGCTAGAATGAGTCTGAATTCGCCTCTCAGCCTGCTTTGTGATTCTTTACTGCTTAACCAAACTAGATCCAAGCTATAGAGGGGCACTGAGGAGGTGAAAGTAGAAAGTGACATTTGCTAGAGCTGGATCCGCTGACTCTACTACAACAACAGCTGTCCACTGACCTGTTGCTAAAAGAAAGCCCTTGGTGCATCGAAGCTGTTTGGCTGCTTTCTCCCCAACCCCCTGTGGCGGGGATGGCATACATTTGAAAGAGAGCTTATACACCCGAGGCTTTGGCATGGGTGTGCGATGCCCTGAGTATGTGAAGCCTGGTGTTTCTGGACTCCAGTGGTCAAAGGGATCCTGTCAGAATTTGTAAGGCTTGTGACAAAAAACCCAAATCTCACTCTGGAACCAGTTCCAAAAGGAGCAGGTTTTAATGTTTTCTCTGCAAATATGAGTATTTTAAAGCCTGTGGATAATTTAGTTACCTGGAGTACATCTGCTAGACCTGGAGATGACATCCAACTGTTGAATTATGAAATAAAGGCTTTCTGGTGCTGTCAGAAGTGTAACTCTGCTCTCGTGGTGCTGGTTTGTGCCACGTGATGATAGATAATCCCAAATTTGCAGGATTTGGATCCAGGGGATGGGAATTGCAATTGCTTCAAATCAGGTTTGTGCAGAGGTTATTTTCAGTCACTGGCTCTGCCCTCTTCAGTGCTTCCTTGGCACAGATTTCATGCTACAAGGTCTCACCTCTGAAGAGTGACCTATCTGCTTTACCTGACATGCCTTAAGCTTTCACCCCTTGCAGAACATCCTGGTAGGGTCAGCATGCCCTTTCCCAGATCTCCATCTTGTGGCTGGTCTGCCCTGTACTTAAGTATTGCGTGTCCTAGACAGCTTAAAGTCTGCCTTTCTGTTAGAAATGACTTGCATTGTGTAAGAAAAACAGTAACTGCTTACATGTTATTCCATGCCTAAGCTTACTTTGATCATCACGATGCCCTCCCCCAGCTTTGTGTAACTGTTCTGATAATACTTCTGGTCCCCATAGCCAAGCTGTAGTTTTCTAGCTCATAGCTTCTCCTTCAGATCTCGCTCAGAGTGTGATGTTGTGCATTTAGTGCTCTTCAACTTTGGTTCCTCTGGGAATCAGTGAGTACCTTCCTCTTAAGATGGTCCTTTCTTAGGCTATTTCTTTAAAGTGTCCATATAAAGACTTTTTTCTTTCAAGGAAAATTACTTATTTTTTTCTGTTCCTCTTGCTAAATGTGCTCAGAGTGAGTCTCTTAAGCTTTTACCTTGCCATTGTTTTTTAAATGGGGAAGCATCATGGAAAATAAGGGGTGATTAATGTAGGTCTGGAGAGACGTGACACCGGTCTTGATAAAACAGATAGCTGCTTCCACATCCGCTGAGGCTTTCAATAATACATCAGTTTATAAAATCAGCCAAAATTCCTGTTTTGGAACAGGCTTTCCGGATTGGTAAAACAAGTTTAGTAATGACTGCTATTGACAGTAAGAGCAGTGCCATTTATACTTCTGCTTTATTTTCCTAAAGTTCATGGGTGTCAAATATCCTTCCAGTTTAAGGGAGAAGGAACAAATTAAAATCTAATTAGGCAGGTCATTCAAATCCCAAACAAACACAGCACTCCTTATTTCTAATGGAACAAGATCTTAACTTAATCGGTCTCAATTCCCATGAGTCCTCTTCCTTAGAGTTGGATTTATTTCCCTATTGTTGTTCTTGCGCTTTGCTGGGTAGAGATTTGCACCCGTCTCCAGAGACACTGTAGCAGGTAAGTGTAGCGGTGCGGGACGGGACCAGAATTTCTGAGGAGCTGGGCTTGTGGCGAGTGTCTGCCAGGATAGCAGATCTGCCTTCCCGAGCAGCTTCTCAGGGAAGGTTGTAATAAAGAGGTGTCTGTTTGCGAAGAGGGTTGTTCTAGAGATCAAAAAGGGCTTGGGTTGATTCTGAGCTCTTGTTTGGGCAGTTAGAAGGGGAGTTTGCTGCTTTCCCTTGCAAACAAGCGATCAGAATTCCACATCGGAGTTGCCTGGTGGGAGTATGGTGTGTGGTGGGGTGTTGTCTCCGGAGTAAACCCGCACAGAGAGTCTCATTCTTATTTCTGCTTGTTTTAGTGGTATTCTGTAGTATTGCTTGTGCTATGCCACCATGTTGTCTAGCGTGAAACAAAATATAGATGTTTTATGCTGCCCATTGAAAAGACAACAGCGTGTCACAGCTGCTTCTTGTAGCCTTTCTTTTTGTATACAAAGAGAACCATGGAAAAACCCAGCACAGACCATCACCTTGAGTGGGCAAAGTAATTAATGTTTAGATTCAGCCTTTCAAGCTTCAGAGCTTCTCAAACCATCCTCTCAGAAGCAGAAGTCTGACCCAGAAAATTTGTGCCCTTCTTTGCCTTCAGAACTAATCCTTTCTGGTACAATAAAGCAAGTCAGGTTTGATCTTGGGCTGTGACCATTAACAACTCATTATATCCAGCTGAGCTAGGAATGACTGAGCAGAGTGTGAGAATCCTCGTTTAGAAGCAGAAGTTGGTGACACTGACTTCACAAAACCCCAGGGAGCAGCTTTATACATTCCTAAAATGCATTGCTTAAAAGTTTCTCTGCTTCCCTCAAGCCCTTGAGCCGTCTGTACAAGGGCAGCCTGACTTGCCCACTGACTGGTGCGGGACGCGCCAGTGGATTTAGTTAGCGGCATTAGCCCTTTGCTGGTTATTTTCTCACAACTGGGAATAAAGGCGGTGCCGATGCTGGGCTGCGGAAGTGGAAGCGGCTTCGTTCCTGTCCTTTAATTTCTGGCCGAATGGTGTGCTGTGTTTTGAAACTGTAATGCCTGGTCCTGTTTTTGGCCGTTTAATGGAAACCGCTGCAGGTAGCTGCTGTGGCTGTGAGCTGTTGCTCCAGCAGGCATCGCGCCCGGGGAGAGGAGGGTGGCCGTGTGTTGGGGTGCGTGTTCGTAGCACGGCGCTGCTGTGCAGAGTGAACCCCCTGGCAGAGGGAGGGCTGGCGCCCGCGCTCCCAACCCGAGCTTTGTACATGCGTGTTCTGTGTGTTGGTGTTTGCGTTGCCCTCGGTGGGATTGAGTACCTGGAAACCCACCCCCGCCAGCAGGGCGGCAGTGCCGGCCGCTTGCTGGAGCGCCTGGCACCTCGCTGTG